AATTAAAGTGCTATCAAAGTCAGTATTTTGCATGTTTTTTGTTTGTTTTTTTATAGCACTCTAAACAAAAAGCGCTAATATATAACATATGTTTGATAGCGCTTTCAAATAAAGTGCTAATAAATGGTACATATTTGGTACAATATTTTTAATAAGTACAGTACAATATTTTTTCTTACACAATCATTTTTTTTGGTGTAAATATAAAATAACTATATTCAATTCAACACAAATAACGCTTTAAGTTACTCATTGCATATATATTATGATCCATCAAATACCAAATAACATTTTAAATTACCAAATCCTATTGTTTCCAAATATCATAACATATAGAATATTAAGAGGGCGTTTGCATAGCCAAATTTGTAGATGCCCATCTATGAGTACTTCAATCCAAATCCAAAAACATACAATCAAATTCTCTAAACAAAACACCAAAAAAATAAGAAAGGATAACAAAACAATCCCATGTAGTAACCACCTTCCACTTCTTCAGTTTGTTGCCTCTCTAGCTTCTCTCTATCCAACTTATCTCTCTCAATCTTTTCTCTCTCTAGCACCTCCAATCTACTTTTGAGTGAATTACAAAAGCCATACAATTTTTCAAAATCCATTTGTGTGGGGCGATTTTGGCGTGGTAATATGTCCCTAGAACATACCCCAAAACCATAAGTCCTAACACGTCCAGAGTAGTTTGGGAGATTAAGAGCCTCAAATAATATGTTTGTGGGACCAAGGTCTTGTCTCTCTTCTTCTTCAGATAGAGCTTCTGTTAACTTCTCCTGACATTGATAAGTATAAAAGAAATAACCAATAGTTAGATACAAGTTGCAATTAATGGCTATTCTATCAAAATAAGACACAAAGACTCAATTAATTAAGGAAAATCGAGTTTAATGACTTCAAACTAACTAATAAAATACAAATTCGGTAACAATGATGAGTATAGAAAAAGTGTCACATCTATAATGTGAGCATTTTGGAAATAACATCTATAGTGTCACATCTAAAATTCGACTTACACATTGATCCACAACTCTTTGAACATTCTCATTATCAATCACCCCGCTCTTATTGACGCGGGCAGCCTTCCACACTTGACTACGGTTTATCTCACCAACTTCTGACTCTTCTACCTATATATACATTTTTACAAATTAACATAGCAATTAAATTTTTTTATAATATTGTATAGTACATTTATACACATACTTACCATATCAGCTTCAAGACGAGCACACCCTAAACGTGACTTTCTATAGGGATGTTGAGGATTTAACGCTCTTTCTCGATTCTCATCACTAACTTTCTGCATTTATTATAAAAAATGCATCCCACAACACTATCACTAATACTATAATCATGCAAAACTTTAAGGATCCATATCCAAGTGATAAAAGTATTACCTGAAACTTTGCAGTCATATGTTGGGCTACAAATTTATCCCAATCATCTTGTTTTATACAAAAAGAATATTTGGCCGGACGATGTTTAACAAAACCACCCTTACTATCTTTTAGATATGACCTCGCCATTTTTGTTCTGAATGCCCTGTGCAACTTTCCAGCTTCTCTATATACAAAGGCACGATGTTCCTCGCCAATTATAAAAGCTTTATGCAAATAATTCAGTTTATTAAAACATAGTTCAGTTTATTTAAACATCCCAATGGATAGATTAACGAAATTAAAATTTTACAACTAGCTTAAGTTAGTGTGTTACTTCAATTTCATCCCAAATGTTTTGTTTATAAACCCCCACAGCCTCTTTATTTTTTTTCGCGCTCCAATTGTCCAAGCTTATTGGAACTAACCGACGAACTGTGACACCAATGAAACTAGCAAAAGTCTTGCTATTATGCTTGATTGGTTGACCTCTGGAATTCCATTGAACCTATAACAAAATTAAAGTGCAAATAAAGAATCAACAGTCTCACTAATAGTGTTTAACATTCAAATAGTTTCAAACAACTAACTCAAAAGATAATCATGTATGTAACCATCACTCATACATAGTTCAGTAAAAGGAAAATTGCCAAGAGAGTAAACAGTATCATAAACTAGAATGGCAAGGGGAAACCATATGCTTCTGAGGACACTTACTTGATTCTTTTAAGTGCAGTCCTGGTGACAACATCGGCACCTTGCTCAAAAAGTAGTGGAATTCTATTGGCAAAACGAAATATATTCAAACCCTGAAAATAAATATTGTATATTTGTCAGAACAAACCATTAATAATTTACTATTGTCGAAAAACACAATGACATGACACTGTATAACTAGCTCTTCAGAGTTCTAACAAGCTTTGAAATATAGACATGAGTGTGCATTGAAAGAGAACTTCAGAAAAATAGAATCGGTTAATTAGTAAAACGATTTCATAATAGCTTGTATGTACAATCCATGTTTATATAGATATCAACCTAAGAAAAGCTACCTAGCTCATTAAACATAACATAATCATAACTACGGTAACTGAACTGATAAAATGTATTGGGTCAGCATACTCTGTTATGTAGAAGAGGAGTGGACATCCCAGCTTTGCTAGAGACATTCAACTACTGCAAAAAAAAAGTAAGCTAGAGACATCCAGCTACCATACAAGTGCAAAAGCTCCCCTGGTTGCATAGGGATTTTATCAGCAACTCAATCTCAGACTTTATCCGTCTCGGGTAACTCTAACTTTGGCACTCATCAGTAGATGGACCATTTAGTATATTGATGTTAATAATGACTTTCCCAATGGGGAACCCTCGTGAAGAGGTTTACATAATGTAACTTCCCAAGTCTGAAGCACCCAATAAATTACTGGTTTGCAGACTTAACAAGGCTCTCTATGGCCTTACACAAACACCTAATGTTGAGTATGAACGGATCATATCTACCTTGTGATAGTTTGAGTTCAATTCTATCATTGTGATGTGATCCCTATTTATTCATTTTCTTTAAGGCAACCACTTGCCTCTCTGTTTTTATCTACATGGATTACACTATTATTATAGTTTCCCCTTGTTAATGATTTGATCAACAAGTTTAGTTAATAATTTGTACTTAAACACCTAGGATCTTTTTATCACTTTTTGGGAGTTGATGTCAAAGTTCAAACAGCTTCGTCATGGTGCTTTTCTACTTACTCAATCAGAATACACAAGGGATCTGCTAAACAGGGCAAAGATGGCAAAAGTCAAAGACATATCTTTTCCTTCAGTCGGTAAGTGCAAGCTAAGTATGGTACTAAACATGCCTTCGAACCTCAAGGACATTTCTTTTCCTACAGTCCATAATTGCAAGATTTATTGTGGAGGCCGTTCATCAATAGTAATTGACACTCAATTATGCAGGTTTTATTGAGGAGGCTGTTCAGTATGCTACTTTGACAAGACCATAGTAATTGACATCAACTATTTCTTTCAGAAAAGATATTTTTAGCACGCATGAATTTCAAACTTAACTGCTATCTAACAATAAATATTGCTGGAAGTGAAACTTAACTTGTTTGACATCTTTTCCACCTATACTGATTCCTGCTTCCACAATGAAAGGGTGGCCTTCAAAAACTTGAGCACTGTGTAGTAGTCACAGGAAAATAACTTTTAAGCATACTGAATTATCTATTACCAGAAAAGCCAAGCAGGTAGCTAACATTAAAAACATCTCTAATGGGCCTCTACTATAGGGCATCCATAAACCCTTCAGAACTTTTATAACACGGACAGAAAGATCAGATAGAATTATAGACAGTAAGCTAAATGCCTGTGACGGTCCACAGCGAGAAGGATTAAAAAGAATGGTTACAAGAAGCAATAACTTGAGGTAAGAGTAAGAACTAGCAAAACTTTGATATTGAATCACAACCTGCCAGAATATGTTGCAACCATGTCTGGGTGAAGTTCTTTTATAATTCCTAATCGAAGATTGTATTCGCCAGCAGGGCTAAGACACTGATAATAGACAGTAAGGACATAAGCAATGACGTGAGTAACATAATGAAAAAGTTAATTATGGAACAATGTGTGATGAATGTAAAGAAAAGGGTTTATAATAGACTTCATAACTTACATGACCACTGGGATCATCAAATTTGGCTTGACGAAACAACTGATGAATGCGTACTAGTTGTTGTGATGTTAGAGACTTCACAGCCATTTTTGAGCTGAAATCGGGGCCCATTTCTCCTGAAAAAGAAAAGGAAAAGAGTGTAGTACATAACAAAATGGGATCTAGAATATACACATAGAAATATGTGAGTATAAACTTCATCAAATTTCAAGACAAATGAACTGTTACTAATTTACTAAAATCTCAGCACTAAGCAGTAATTCGAAGTATCTCTTTATGTGCCTTAGGGACAAAAGCATCCACATACGACAGAACTGCAGCAGGCAACCCAACTCATTACTCATTCATTAAAACAAAAGTGAATATAAAACAAAGAGGGATCTTTACTATTCCTATGTTTCAGTATCAACAAAGAAAGCTAGACATGTTTTCTCTCTCCACTTAAATATCTCACATTAATTGCTTTAACAGCAAGGAGAATTAACAATTATCAGGTGGATAAACTCTGTTATCTTTCCTATAAACAAATAAAAATACCAGATTTGCTAATTTTATTCAATGCATGACTGCATACAATCATGTCGACAACCTTAAAGAGGTAGTGGCTGCTAACAAAGAGGACAGACTAAGAAAAGCAATGGAAGCACAAGTGATCATCGGCGAAGAATCGGGCCAATTCGAAGCATGGAGAGACTCGTTAGAAACTGTTCCTACTATCAAGAAACTGAGAGCTTATGCTGAAAGGTTAAGGATTGCTGAGGTTGAGAAATGTTTAGGTAAAATGAGTGATGAGGATATAAATAAGAAGACACAAAAAGCAGTGGATGATCTTGGTAGAGGTATAGTGAATAAAATGCTCTTGAACTATACGCTCTTGTCGCCTCATCAAGCAAAAGTATTTTCGGGTTTTTCAGCATGGCTCTTGCAATAGCAATACGTTACTTTTGTCCGCCTGATAGTTGTGTGCCTCTTTCCCCAACACAGGTTTCATAACCATTTGGAAGATAACTTATGAAGCTGTGTGCATTGGCTGCATTAGCTGCTGCAATTATCTCATCCTCGGTAGCACCTCCCTCTTTGCCATAAGCTATGTTGGCACGAATGCTTTCGTTGAAAAGAATAGGCTCTTGACCTACCAAACCCATTTGTTGCCTCAACCAGCTTAATCTGAACTTTGTGATATCCACTCCATCGAGGTACACATGTCCAGAATCAGGGTCATAGAATCTCTCTAAAAGGCTTATAACTGTTGATTTTCCACTGCCACTTTCTCCAACCAACGCAACAGTCTGTAAAGACATAGATTGTCAAAAACTTGATTGATGAAAAGGACAAGCCATAATAGGTCCTGCAAGATATTCTTACTTTTGCGGTATTAAATACGGAAGTTTTGCAATCGGGAAGGATGCTTATGGACCATGGAGGCAAGTCATAGTGCTTATTATTGAAAACTACGGTAGCAGCAGATTGTACATGATAGTTTGCGAGAAAAGCTGCACATCCTGCAGTTCCTGCAGAGAATACATGAGCCTGGAAAATCACCAAGCACATAGAGAGAATATCGTGATTGTCACCACAAGATTAGTTTATCATAAACCAGCACATAACTAGAAGAGGGGTTAGTTTCTTCATATATGTGACAATTTACCTGCTGGTATGTTCCTAACGATGTAACAGTAGGGTCCGAAGAAACCAAAGCATGCTCGCATCGCTTGATCACTTTATGAAGATCCTTCAAATGGCTATATTTCGGTTGCCTAATCAAACCTAAATCATTCATGTATGCAAGATAAGGAAGTGCTGAAATATTCCAATTATGATACATTACTTCATAATCCATTCAAATGATTGGTGAATCATGTAGAACAACAAAATAATCAAAGAATCTGGTCATAACAAACAAGCATAATTTTCTTACCATATTCATCGATTGGAGCATCGTAATTATAGCTTGTAGTAATGAACGGACCCCCAGCGGAACGTCCGAAATTAGTTCCTCCATGATACTATCAATAATCAATAATCACAAAAGTGAAAATTTGACTTCAAAGCAAGGCACCACATGTTTTGTTGCAACAAATAATAAGAACAGAACCTTATCGAAATAGGTAAAGTTATTTTTTGAAATATGATAAATAATTCATAGGTGACCAACCATGTAGTAATTCACATATGATCCGCCCTTCTGAATGAAACGAACAACTGCAAATGCCAAATCTTGAACTGGTCGCTGGTGAATCGGGCCACCAAATTCGGTAAACCTTACGATTACAGGATCGGAAAGAAAGAGATCAGCAGAATAAGAGGGTGAAAAGTAGACAAATGTATCTAACATCTATAGTCATAGAACAATGTATATCTTACCAGCCACTCCAAGACTCGGTCCACATGCTAGGCTTATATGGTTTATTTGGAGAGAAATCGTCACAGTAAAAGCCATTACACGAATTAATCTGTAGCGGAGAATCGGGTGGATCATATTCAACACTCGATAAGTCTATAATGAATGGTGAACCTAAAGATAGAGCTTGTGAGGGCTCACCACAGGATCTGGGGCATCAATTTCTTTGCACATCACCCAAGGGACTCCTGTTCCCAATCCAACAGCCATATATGCAGCCCAGTTTAGGTATGCATGACCAGCAGCTCCCATCGCCTTGCTCTCTGGTCCGTATTCGTTCTCAATCTAGAAAGAAATGACTTTTTGACATCAAAATTCTGATATCGAATGCATTTTCTTCAAAATATCCACACATTCAACAAGAACATCATACCTGAGAAAGAATGATTGGACCACCCTGAGACTGAAACAAGTTTTCACTCTTCATCATTTGAACAATCTTCTGAGTAAAACCTTGCATTGCAGCCTAAAACCGAAAAAAGAATTTATATCAACCAAATCATTCAAGACTCGAGTTAACACGGATAAACCAAACCAGGTCATGAAATGAAATCAAAGAAAGCTCAACCTTGAAAGGCTCATTATCGGTTCTAAAGCTTATACCCGGAACATACTTCAACCAAACAGGAATTCCCCTATACCATCAAAGAACAAAAACGTTATTGCAATTATAATCTTACATAAAAAAAAAGAAATTAAAATGGAATTAGCAACATGCATGTACCCAAAGTTCCACTCGGCGCAAACATAAGGTCCAATGCGAAGATTAACATAGAGCCCCACTTTTTGCACTGTCTTAATGAACCTAACTAGATCATATCTTCCTTCAAAATTGTACTGTAATACAACCCATTGAGCAGAGTGAAACTGAAACGAGATTGTTAATAACGAAGAAAAGCGAAAATTCACCCGTCGACTTCGAGGAGAACTGCGAGATCTTGAGACGGGATGCCACTGTCGTCGGTGGATGAAGCGGCGATGACGGCGGTGGTGTGGCCGGGAAAATCGAAAGGGGAAAATTGATGGGAAATCCAATTTTCTGAAAATGTGTTTTGTTTTTTTTTTTTTATCAATTAATTAATTAATTCATTATTATATATAACATAGCGCTTTTTAATAAATGCTATTATATAGGTAGTCAAATAATAGCGTTTTATACAAAATGCTATCTTAAAGAAGTTTAATAATAGCGTTCTGGTACAAAGTGCTATCAAAATTACATAGTCTGTATTATATAATAGCGCTCGATTAAAAAGTGCTATTATAAATGTGTTTTTTCCATTTTAATAGCATTTTTTTTAAAAGTGCTATTAAATTAGGTGATACAAAAAATCATTTTTGGCGTAGTGAATATCTTCAACTGGAATACGAATCAGGGAGATCTTAGGGTCGATCTGACTAAACCAGAGAAGGTCTTGGATTAACTTTGACTGGATAAGAATCAGAAAAATCTTAGGATCGATTTAACTGAACCAGACGAAATTCTCCCATAGATGTAGTTTTCTTTTGAGGGGACTACTAGGTCATATGAGTAGTCAACGGTGTTTATTGATTCGTCTTCCCCTGAAACGGTAAAGAGTCAGTCATATGCAATGTCATGATGTATGAAATGCATGATATATATCAAGCAATGATGCTCTCAACATAAATGAGATTGTATGGTATGATGCGCATATGCATGTATCATGATGTATGGGAATGTAATGTTTCTAGCTAGGGAAAATAAGTCCCGGATAGCTGCTGGAGCATAGAGTTGAATTCTTCATTTCCGCTGGGGACGGTGAACGAAGGTGATTGCGAGAATAAACCTGTAGGAGAAGATAACTTCGTTGGGGAATAAACTGATGAGGAGATTACTCTGTGGGGGAGAGATGCTCTACTGAGGATTCCACTAATAAATTCCGTCGGGATGAATTATTGTTGCTGGTGATATTGAATCTGTTGAGGATTGAATTCCTGTTTGTGAAAGGAAAGAACTTCGCTGGGGATGATCTTTCAGTGGCGACTTTACTGGGGGTAACCTGTTAGACTTTATGGGGATAATCCTCTGAATTCTACTGGGAATGATCCTTTGAACTTGGCTGGGGAGATTTATTTTGTACTCCGTTGGGGATAAGCTTCCAGAGTCTATTGGGGATGATGCTTCGACTCTGTTGGGGAAGCTTTTTCAGACTGCGCTGGGCAAACTTTGACTCCACTGGGGGTATCTTGTATTCTGCCGGGGAACATTCTTATACTCTGTTGGGGAATATTAAGACTATCGGGGATACTAAGCCTTTTTAGTATTGATGGTAGATCAACTTTGCTTGGGGAGAGCATTGCTGATTTGCTCATAGTTGCAAGTCCCAGCTGGGGGAGAGCTATCATTACTGTCTTACTCTATGGGGAGTGAAGGTATCTTAGTCATATTCTTCAGCTGAATCTACCTTTGTACCTGATGGATAGAGCAACTGTATAGTTTGGACAATTTTTATTGCCCCTGTTTCTGATGTTACCCGTAATCGTCTTTTGTTTCGCATGTAAATATTCATGAGCAGCAATTAATGTCAAATGCATATATCAAAAATGAACATTGGACGTTCTTTGCAAATCAAAACAGATAAAGAAAAAACATTTTGAAATTTCTTTGAAAATGAATTGTACAGATTTTGAAGTTTGGCCTGTAAATAGGTGCTTTTGTACAAGAGGTTGATGTCCTAGTAAGAGAATGCCGCTGAACAAATAGAATTTACACAATTTGTGAAAAACTAAACAAAACAACTATGTGAATAATCCCACTGGGTTCCAAATCTGCTATTGCCTTTATGTCCTCGAGCATCTCATCACTTTGCTACTTGGTTGAAGGTAGATCAGATTGATTAGTATCGTCCGAGCTTGATAGTCGATACCGAAGTCTGGATGCGAGATGATCCAATGAGACATAGTGTTACGCTGATCCCTAATTTTTGCCTGGACCGCCCTTTCGGGTTTTCAGTCCACCGGGATACCCTTTTTTGCCCAAGCCACCTTTTCAGGTTTTTGACTTGCCGGGTGTACAGATTTTTTTCATTTTTATCCCTAATTTTTTCCCGAACCCTTTTGGTTCACCGGGAAGCCCTTATTTTTGCCTAGGCCAGTCGACCTAGCGGGTCTTTGATTATGCGTAGTATTTTCTGATTATGTCCATGCTCTCAAGGTGTAGGGAGTTGTCACTGTCTGTAGTGTCGTGTTTCCATACTACCAGAAGATGTTTGATCATGCAAGATTCGTTGCTGGAATTCATGTCCAATGCCCCAATTGATTCAGATGGAGATTTGCCCCTGGCTATTTGGCATTTTGAGAGATTCCTTGAATCTTGACTTGACTGCCCCAGATGATGGAAATGATCATGCCGTGCCCCTTGATTGGAAGTGTTTTTTCACTTGAGGTGATCCTTTTTATTGAGAAGGTTTTTTGTTCACTATATATTCTTCGTGCGAACTTCTCTGCTGTTTGAACAAATAGTCATATGCAAACAATGTTATTTCAAGAATGCAAAGCTTATGTCTGTCTTGAGGTTTTAAAAATGCAGTTTTCAATAAAACAAGCGAATTTTTGTAAAATGTGATGTCAACTCAGGATTTACAGCAAGCCCTACAAGAGTCAGGATACCTTTTGTAACAGTATGCTTTCGAACTAACCCATGCTTCAGCTAGGACTTTTAAGGGTTATAACGTGGCCTGGTTCACGGTTTAAGAAACAAAGGATAAAGGCTCAAAATTTATTTGTACCCACCCGCTCTTCGTGATGTTCTTCAATCCTAAACTCAGCTAATCGTGCATTAGATCTCGTTTAAGTCTTCGCTCTGATATTCCAGCGATGGTTCGGATACTGACAATTTATCTTTAAACAGACAGTCATTTTTTTGTTGAGAGTTTGCAGGATCTCTTTCCTTTTGGTTTTTATTATCCCTGTTTTTTGCATGAACCGTTTCTTTTTGTAATTACAATCATCGGGATGCCTCCGTTTTTCTTAAGTCTCCTTCACAGGTTTTGACTTAACGGGCTTTTATTTTTGAGAGATAATGACTGCCTATCCTTACAATTATACGGAACCATCACTGTCTTTTATTTCGGAAGGACTTCTTTGATGCCATTCATTATGCACCTGGATTAACTGAGAAAACTACCCTGCCCCAGGTTATAATTACGGGTTTTAATTTGTGAAAAGAAAAACTCCAACTTCTTTGGCTCAAAGGGGTTGACTAGTGATTATCTTCCTTATAACTCCATTGTTTAGGATTTGAAACAACGCCTGTACCTCGTCAGCGGGGTCTGTTCAAAAGCATATTGTAGAGATTTTGATATCATTTTCATCATCCTCCTTCTAAAGGCTTAGAATTTGTTTTCGAGAGTTGATCATCACAAAAAATGAAAGCAATTTGAATATAGTGAATAAGAATGGATTGATTCAAAACAGACATATGCAATGCATTGATAAAGTAATAAAGTTTGACATGAATAAATGTTCGAACAATCAAAAGAAAATTACAAATTAAAAATACTAATGAACAAAAGTCTTCTCGTCTCAGTACTTGTCACTTCAAATGGTAAACCTTGGAGGGATGGTAGATGAACTCAGCCTGACCATCTTGTGTGAATTCCAATGCTCCTTCATCAATCATGTTTTGAATTTTGTTACTCAACGCCCAATAGATGTTAGTATCATGCCCCAGGCTGTTGGAGTGATATGCACACCTTGCATCAGGATTGTACCTTGGGGAGGCTATGTTGGGATTCTTAGGAGGGTCCCTTAACGTCACCAGATTCAATCTCAACAAGTGTTGTAAAGCATGAAACAGCGACATGTTGAGCTTGGTAAATTGCCTCTTGGGCATATTTGGCTTACTCTGATCAACCCGTTGTTTATGGCAAGGTTGTTGTTGGACCCGTGAGGTAGTAGCAACTTGGAGAGGTCTATTCTTCATCAAACCAAACCTTTGACTTCTCAGAAGTTGATTAATGACTTGGTCCCCAGCCTTGACTGTTTGCTTCATGTTGTTGTATCTGTCTTGATGAAGCTGGTTGATAATGGTTCTCAACTCTTCTTATTCCCGAGCTAAGCCTTGGATAAGAGCCATCTGCCCCAGCATCTGGGTTTTCATGGCACTGAACTCAGCTTGCAGTTGTTCCATCCGTTCGTCCTTATTGTCTTCAGGACTTTTCTTGACCAAGTTCCCAACGAGGAGTGTTTTCAACTCTTCCTGCCCCTTGGATAGGTTTAGGAATACGTCCCCGAACTGAGCTTCTCGAGTTTGAAGATCTTGGTTGTCTGGTTGGAAAGCCATTGCTGAAATAAACAGCGAGAACATGAGAGACCTGTACTGGGAGACCTGTTATGCAATGATATGTATGTATGCAATGTTTTCAAGGATCTCGCGGGGTAAACAAGAAACTTGTTAGAATTTGAATTTTGCAGCTTTGATTGAAGAAACTTCATGTTGTTAAGAGTCCTTCTTCAAGAGTCAAGCTCACCATATCGAGTGGGTCATAGCCCCTGACTCAAGTCATCGTGTTTTGATCTCTATATGACATTGGCTAGAGGAAAATAAATCCCCTTTGCCCCTTGCTAGACATTTGATTTACCATAACCTGCATCACAAACCCTTGAGATCCTTGAAATGGTTAAGGAAATGTTAAGGCATGATGTTATGATGTGTATGCTATGCATTTAAGTAAAAGTGTGAGGTGATGTAAGTAGACCCTGAAATAAATCCAAATTATTGGATAAGGACTGTAAACAAAACCTGCAAGGAACTCATGTTGTCAGATAACAAGAATGTGCAAGTAGTTCAAGTTGAAAGCACGCAAGTCACACAATAGCCCTTAGATTTCAGGCTGGCAAGGAGTCTAGGTACTACCCTCTTTCAGTTTAGTTGGTTCAAACCTGTCCTAAAAATAGTAACCAGGTTCTAGAGGATCTCAATATCACTGACTACCCTCGATCGGTCATAATTCCAGTTTAGCAACCTTTTCTTGCGGCCGAAATCATTGCGAGAGTTTAGTCTCAATGAGTGTAGCATACTGCTACTGTTCTATGGCCAAGTTGGTCAATTTAAAGGTTCTAAGGTCAGTTGGTGCTTAATGACCCCTTAGAAGACCCATATTCTCCTCGTTGCGCCACAAGGGATATCAGTACAAACTAAAGTGCCACACCAATGTAGCTACTGCTTCAACCATATCGGTCTACGTCGTACAGTTCCCTCACAGTTTATTGCTACTTACCTAAAGGGTATCCCCCAGATCCGAGTTAGGATCTATAGTAACTCCGATTCAAACCCACAAAGCTAAAGCATATAAATCAAGCAATTGAAAACATTATGATGAACTATTCCTAAGGTACACCCCACTTATAAGCGTCCCCAGCAGAGTCGCCAGTTCTGTGATACGGTGGGAGAGAACTGACTATTTTTTGGTGTGTTGGTTTGCGTTTTGCGTTTGTTTTTGCAAAATGTCGCGGTAAGCAAGAGTCGCCACTGTCTTTTATTTTATCCAACAAGGAAAGGAAAAGAGCACAGAAAAATTCCTTTTTCGAGATGTTTCTCGGGTCCGGGGAGTAGATTATAGAAAGGGAAGGTGTTAGCACCCTTTCTATCCGTGGTTATCCACGGGCTCTTAGGTACTTGCTCATAATGTTTTCAAAATTGCTTTTCTTTGTATTTGTGGATTTGAAGAAGTTTTGTTTGACAAGGAGTGTAAGTGTGAAAATTTGTTTTATTTTTGAAGGAGCAAGTACTTAAGAACCATCTACCTATTCGAAAAAGGATCGTTCTATGCTAATGTCCTTTAGACAATGCTATCCCACTATGAATGAGTAGGTAGCACCGTCGTTGGAGTTTTAAGGGTCAATTCGATTAAGGGACGTGCGATCACTAAAGCAATGTTAGGACACCTTAGCGGTAACCCTAATGTCTTAGATCATTTTTCCGAGGCAACCATTTCGAGGAAACTATGATCTTTGGACAAGAGGGCGACCTCTAAAACTTCCTATACTCATTGACCGCGTTCGAAGGCAACCAAGTGGGGTGTACCCTAAGAGTGCGCATGTGCGAGTGTGTTGTTTTCAGTTTATTTTATCTTTGTACATGTTAGTGGCTATCTATGTTGGTTTTAAGTTAAACATTCGATCTTGTCATGCATTCCCTATTACCAAACATCTAACAGTTTATAAGTTGCGGAAATTAAATTGCGTAAATTAAACTAACTATTACAAGGCGTCGGATATTTACATCGCCAAAAGCAACCCTTGAAATTAAAATACGGAAAATAAATAAAGTGGAAAAAATAGTAAAGTCCTATTAAGCTATTACATTCTAGAAACAGATACAACATTGAAATAAAATGGATCGCGTGCGAGAAATTAAATCGGGCGAGTTCTAGGGTTTTGACC